TAACTGTCACTGGAGACACGATTATGTAGTGAACTCTTTTCATTCATAAAATGCCATTATTTGGGTGTGTCTTCGTTGGTTGTGTCCTTGCTTTTCAAAAGGCGATTTACATCTATTCTTCCGTTAGGTGATTTTCGTCGAGCACAATGGGTCGCAACTGTGCCATGGTAGCTGGAGTCCAATTTAAAGAATTAATGCAGCGTTAAATTCCGTCTTTAGACTGTTTATGAAAGTGTTCGAATCTAGATATTTCATCTGAGTTGATTTTATTTGTATTCATTCATAAAATAAACATCATCGTAAATATATTCACAACTATAATACCATAAACGTGTTTAGTAAACCAGACGTATAGCCTACATTATAGATTATCGTAAAATTTGTTCGAATTATAATTGATCCTTTCAATTTGATAGTTCATATACAATACTACATGTACGTAACATCGCATACTGCGATTTTATCGCATTGGAAAGCGTTCCAACCTCATTGTTCTATTCATTTAGATTATATATGTCATAAAGCCGACACAATGTAATCTGTAATATATTACTTGTATATAGTAAATAATGCACAGTACTTTAAAAGTGAGATATTTGTCAAAAATGAGTTGGGGAAAAGGAGAATTTTGTTTGGTTATATCGTGTCCTGGAACAAACTACCGATGTCAGCAGTGAATGCACCAACCATTAATAATAATAGCTTCAAATCAGAGGTGGATGCCTATCTTTCAACACAGCTCGACAAGTTTAGTTATATACCCAGCAGGTCTTTCAACAGATCCAGCTATTGACCTATTCTATTAAGGAATGAACTCTTTGCAGTGGTGTATTGGTGAGTTATGGGAGGGCATTACAAGACATTGTCTTACTAAGGAGCCCGAGAAGACAGGTGAAGACAGGTGAATACAGGTGAATTTGTCACTGAGTATCACGGAGTAATGAACGCGATTAAATATGGAATATGAATATCGTCTACTGAGAATAAGAAGGGCGTTTAATATAACCCAGCGTAAAATTATATCAAATAATGCCCCATCTGGCTTTCAACAGGCAATATATTTAACACTGAAAGTATTTCTTTCAAAGATATTTGGTCTAATCAACTCAATACAATCATCAGGTATAATGAAATAGTTGATATTATCAATGCATGGTGTCCAATAAGTCTTGCTCATTGATGGCACTCTTTTTTTTTAATGATGAGAACCTACATTGCTTTTAAATGCGTCTTTTTCATCTTTCTCCACACAAAAAAAACTACAAGGAATTAAGACGCCAATCAATAAGGATGTTTGCGAAGACCTCCGCCTTTATTCCTCAACAAGTATTCCAAATCGGACACAATAGCATCACTCCTTTTAAAAGACAGATCTTATGTAATATACCAATAACTGCTTTACAACAGAATGTTATGCAAGTAGTGCCGCGAGAGTTTGTATTCAGAAGGAAATAACATTGTGTTTTAATGATATGCAAAATCCTGTCCAAACACTCTCATAAGAAAGTTTCGTTTTCGGGTAAACTAACGTACAGTATCTTTTGTATTTTAAAATTCAATTATTAGATGTTTTAATTACCCAAGAGTCTAGACATAAATAAGATAAGGAATATGTAACGAAGTTTGTTTTTTAAAAAGCCACATTCATTACAAGATAACCATAGCATTTGCGTTTTCATGGTTACTTTATCAAATACAGAATTTTCTTTGCTCAGGTTATGAGTTTATCATTATAACTGCAAATCAGGCTCTCGTGGGAGGCCGTTACTTTTGTTTTAAATGTGTTACGGTATGAGCATATCAGAAATTAATACATATTTAAGAAAATGGGTTTGCAATAATGGCAATATAATAAGCTTCGACTTTTCTTCCCTTTAATATCTTTGAGACCATAATAAACTATCATTCTAAAGTTTCTTCCTCAGATTAAAAAATGTATAGGCTATCTAAGATTAACGGCATTCCACTTCTTCCCCGCACTATTAACAGGAACCTGGATCAAAGAAAATTACGGTTTTTTTTCCCTATTCTTTTTTTTTCTTCAGGGCAGCGGATTGTATTTATTTCATTGAATGGTCCTTCTTTTCTATTCCCTTACACTTAGGAATACAATAATCAGTGATTCTCAAGATTCACACAAATCGTTAACGTTTTAGAACGTTAGAAGGAACTCAGTTTTGTAATGCAAGTTTATAAGACATCTATGCAGCAATACTTTAAAAATCCAGGTTAGCGATAAATGAATTACATTAACATTGCGTTGTCGCTTTTCTGATGGCATGGTTAGTGACAGCTTTAAATTCTATTGATCGATACGCATGCTCCGATGACAATCTAAATTTATTTTTTACTTGCTTATGGAAGACCCAAACATTAAATTGTAGGTATGAAAATGAAGTCTATAATCAAAACCTTCTTATTCCTTATTTTAAACTAATGAAGAAAAAAATGTTAAAGAATGTTGAAGTAGTTAAACTACGAATGTCGTTACACAACACTAACGGACTCACGTTGATACAACCGTCCCATTTCCCACGACCCGTCCCCTTTCCTACGACCCTCCCCCTTAAATCCCAGATCCGCCCCCATTGCACAAGATATTGATGTTAAAAGAGATTGAAAACTGAACAATATATTCACATTCATCAGAATGCCTTCCAAAATTGTGTAGATTAATTAAGTTGTGCAATTTCGGGGATCACCGTGATGCGCTTAAGATTCATGAATAATGTGACATCGTAAGTGGCATCAACAAATGTTAATGAGTGATTAACAGACAAATCTTCCCTAATTGGATGCAGGGCGTTGCTCTTTCTCTTTATTAAAATATCGCCCGAAGGAAGAGCACACTGTGTTTTACTCGATCCGAGATAAGCAAATACCAAACGCCGGTGCTTTTCTGATCAATAAACAGTGTTCGGTATATGCCCGAATCAATAAAAGAAATCGAACCAAATGGTCTTTAAAATCTTATTTCAACCACACGATTTCTACAAGGTATAATTATAACCAGAAGGCACGCTTATCCCAATAATCATGGTCACAGACAATCTATATTTTTCAGAACTTAAGCAACAATCTTCTATATTTTCATAACTTTAGCAACGCCCCTTCCCCCCCCCCCCCCTTCCAAAAAAAAAGGGTGGGGTCAATCGAAATCGAAAGTTTAAAAAAAATACATTTTAGGGTTCCTTCGCGGCATGGAGAAACCTGCACGGATGTTTTTCGTAACAACAGGCAATTCCTCACCAAACCAGGCGCGACCAATGCTTGTAATTAATAATTCAATGCATTGTACAAATGAATTGTTGATATAACAATGCCTTTACACTTATAATAATACGGTGCTCCACAAAAGATCAGGTCTACTGAGTATTTTCAGTCAAATGTTCTCTTCTGCTTTTAAAGGTATAGACCAGTTCTGGAAAGGCCCCCCCCCCCCCTCTCAAAAAATGAAATGGAAGCTCTTATTACCAATCAAGTGAAATAATATGTTTTGACTAATACCCATGATACAAATTTTGCTGGGAAACCGCCTACTAATTGATATATTTGGTAAATTATATCGATCCGGCCTGGATAGATATCGCGGATGCACTTCAGCATTGAACATTTGGGCATATATTTCTGATTTTTTGCAAATTTAGGTTGAAGTATTGCCATCTAAACCTCTGAAGGCAATATTTAAGCCATATTGAATGGATATTTTGCACCCAAAATCCTTGAACCGCAATTTTACCACTACCGGTCTATATCTTTAAAACTAAATATAAATTACACCCAAAATAGAGATAAGCTAATCCTACAAAGATAAAACAAAATATACATTCCCTGCTCACCCACTGTTGATGCATGCGAGCACATTGGATGATATAGTTAAGCATGTTTTTTTTTAAATATGTTTAAGGAAATAGGCAAATGAAATGCGTCAAATAGGTCCCATCTCTCCTATTCTTTCACGTTTACCGGTCAATATTTTGAAATCTATTTTTCTACACCGTTTTTGTCTGTACTGACTATCTTCCACTATATCCACATTTCCCCACGTTTCCCACTGATTCTAACAGAAAATATTAAAAGTCATTGACAACCATGAACTTCTTTAAGGTGGCATGAATTAATAGTCTCCGTTATCGTCTCATTTTTTGCTTACTCAAACGTAGCAGAGATTCTACCAAAGGCAATGGGGTCCGTTGCGATTCTGCTAAATAGGATGTTTAAAGCAGAGTGAAACAAATTCGTACGAATATAAGTGCTGGTGTCCTAAATAAACCATTGGACTCCATTGACACATTTGAATACATTAGTGAATAAGCGATAAATTACTAGATACAATACGAAAATGTACTCTTTAATTTCTAATTGCAGATCTAAAAACATCACATCTCAAATATCAACGATTTAATGACACATAAACCGTGTTAGTGTGTTTTACGCATGTCATTGCGCACAACAAATAAGGTGTGCTCATTTCAAATAAAAACGATCTTTTGCTTGGCAATCTTACAGCAAATGGGGCCAAATCATGTTAGGCTTTTAATTGATATTCTAGTCCTTCAGCACTGTATAACCATTTCCCAATATTTCTTCAATTTCACTACATCTTACTTTTCGAACTTTTAGGGTTACGATTACTACTGCGCCAACAGACCGATTTACTAACATATTCAAATATACGGATATTTCTTTCCTGAGGACCAAGTGGCGAGTTACTCCATTAACCGTTATTCATGAATGAACTACAATACTTAGAATCCAGTCTACATACATTACTTGTTGCTATGTCGGTCGGATAAGCTTCGGGTAAGCTGTTAGATTGTCAAGATCAACCTTTGTTAAAAATTACGGATACAATTTGAATATGTCAGTAAACCGGAGTATTGGACTAGAACTGAGATTAAGCGACCAACAAATAATGTAATGCCATTTAACACATTTCTACCTTTCCTTTTTACTTTCAAAATATTAGAGAAAATGAATACGATATTTGCACATCCTACCTTGAGCCTGGACCAGGCTGCCGACGACAACGAATACGGCGACGAGTGACAAAACTGTCCTCCCCATTTTAAAGATCGTTTTCTTCGAAAGAAAACCAGTAATATAAAAAGTCAGAAGGGGTGAAGAGTTTCAGAAGAGAGGGATCCCCAAATGTCCCCTTTTCGATCCTCGAAAAGTATATGAACTTCTCGAGAAGAAAATGGATAACCTCGCTCAAAAGACAGGGTTGATGTGTTGAAAAAAGGGAGTGGCCGGGTTGTGTCTCCACTTGCTTTCTGCACCACTACCCCGACTGACGTATATCATCTACGATTTGGGTTTTCAACCATGCGCTTCGTTAAGCCGAGAAATGAATTGGAAGGATGCGCTCCAGTGATCAGACTCTATTCTTTTCTTTATCCCGTCGCCCTCGACATATTTGTGAAAAGGTTTTTTAAAACTCCTTTCACCTATTGTCCCTCCGTCTCTCTAGCTCTTCTCCTACAACGACTTTTCTTATTATCACATTCAACGCATAAGGTCTTATCTGAACGCATCTCTACCAGAGTATTTAAAAGAACGTTGGGGATAAGATTGGCTTATATAATCTACATGGAATTGAAAGTGCGACTGACATTTCTAAATGCAATGCATATCAAGCGGTCACGGTATGAAATTCATGAAAATGTCAAGAGAGAGGGAAAAAGAAAGAGCGGGAGCAAACATAAAGGAGAGGGGAAGAAAGAGTGGCATGTTGTTTGCTATGCAAAACGTTACGTAAGAAATGCAAATGTATATATAGGATTAACTTCTTTGATCAATGTATAGGTTCGAATTCTCGGTCAGGGTTTGTTACGTCAGGGCGGGGATTGGAATTTAACTATGTACTTTCATTCATGTCCGCGTTTCATTACATCAGATGTCATATCATTTTAACGTGTATTTATAAAAAATATGGTTCATATTAACAATTTATATCCCCTCTATTTTCCCATAGACTCTATGATTAAAAAGCCTATGCATGTGTTAAAGAGATTTACTTTGAACGACGCTAAATAAATGGAAGATGTATATCAATGTATTATTAATTATCAAATAGTTCACATGACCGAAATAATAGCACCTCTATGAATGGGATCCATTTTTCAAACATTAGTTTTTACTGTGTATGAAAAATATCTGGCAAGCTTTTTAGTCCTCAAGAGCAACTTCTTTCAAAGCAGTATGAATAAGATTAGTAAACATTTAAAAATGTCGAGAACGAAAACAATTAATACCTCAAGAAGGTACAGTTAAATCATGAGCCCTGACTTTGAGGTAAAAAAATTGTTTGCGTTTTCGCATTATCAAATTCCCCTTCCAGATAATTTTGAGGAGATGTATTCACAGTATATATATATATATATATATATATATATATATATATATATATATATGTTTAATTTGTAATAGATTTCCAGAGTAAAGTAAGAATTCACTATAACCATGAAACGAGAGGAGCTCGGAACTTTCAGTCGAATGATGTTATTGTGCTCTGAATTGATAATAATAATAAGTATCATAGGTCCATTTATATAGCGATGCTACTATACGCCTAGTACAAAGTATCATGTTATTACCCCGACTGAAGCTGAGCTGCCATAACTGATACACGAGATCTAAGGCCTCAAAAACTATCAAGAAGTTTAACAAATATCTACAAATCATTGTTTTAACTTTTAAGAATAGCATTTTAAAATGAATGGTGCCTAATACCGCATAAATTCGACTTTGTTTAATTACCAATATAAATAACTAAAGAGTGAATTATGCAAACTGCTTGAACTTTACAGTCTTATTCCGATTAAGCTGATCGTGAATGAATGAATGAATCATTGATTGATTATGGAATTAAGAAAGAGTGTGAGTGATTACACAAATATAAGTCAGCCCTCCTATGTCAACACTGCTAACGACACTTAAAGAGTTTAACCCATAATCACAGTGGGGTTGTAACCCAAACTTTAAATATTGATCATTAAGACCCATGCCATTTGTAAATAGCTTGAAGATACACCGTCACATTCTTATTCGAATCTAAATAGATTGCTAAGGGTGGAATGGCTTTCATGGCGTTATACTATCAGTTTTAACAGTGAATCATTAAAACGTGTCAATTAAGCTTTATGTTTCAGCTCGTTGAATAGACCTGGGTTTTTATGTATACAATGAGTGTACAATTACGCCTATGAAGGGCTATCAAAGGTTCGTGTGAAGATCGTTGCGATCAATTACTTTCTTAAAGGTTGAATTGTTTTTTTTTCTATGAACATAAGCTAAGGGAAGTTGAAACATTACGATGAACTCGTTCAGCAATTAAGGAAATGTCGTCAAAATTAAATAAAATGTTTGTTTTGAAAATGGGGCGATTTAAAAGACAGGGAGCGAGTAGCGACAATAAAGAAAAATTGCATTCGATATTGATTAGCAAAAACAGAAAACGGAGAGAAGAGAAAAGAGAGAAAGAGAGAGGGGGTGTAGACAAATCACTTATGATTTTGGAGAGTATGTCTTGATGTCTAACCCATCATGCATATAATTATAGCACCTGTACTGGATAATGTGAATGATTTTTTTTTTGCGAATGAAATACTTCATGGTTCAACGCCTTTATACATGGGAAAATTCCCCCGCTTAATAATTTAATGTTAGCACGTTTTCCTTTGTGTGGATGAGTTAGGGATACAACTAGATTGAAGGCTGGTGAAAGTGATTTAAGATAAAACATTGATTGGAGTTTGCGGTTGTAAAAGGGACTTTGGGATAGTCAATCGGAGAACGACTTCTACAAAGTACAGGTAGGTCCAATGTTTAAGGACTATAACACTGAATGCAGATTTGACTGAAGCGCCTTTTCATTGTGACCTTTCCCTTTGAAAAGAAGCTTCTTTTTATCGATTAAGATCATGAAAGGAGATAATTGATCTATGAACTCAAACCGTAGACAGCGGAGACCGAAGGATAAAGTGACCACTAAGGGTCTCACATACCAGATTAAAACGGTCTTGAAAATGATCTTTTGAGCTCCATTCTTACACTAACAACTAAACCAGCTTCGACAATTAACAGCTAATCAAGACAGTTATCTCTCATATGATATCCTCTTCCATCCATCCAGTGGCGGATCCAGGGGGATCCTCCACTGAAAAAACAGGTAAAAACAAGTTATTTTACCTTTATTTGGAGACGGGCCCTCTCCTCTGGTGCTCAAGGGGGGGGGGGGGGGGGGGGGGGGGGGGGGGGTGCGATTTTAATTTTTTCGAGGGCACAACAGAAAAAAGTGCTCGCACTACCCCCCCCCCCCCCCCCCCACTCATCGAATTCCCCCGGCCCCCAACAGAAAAAAATCTGAGCAAATGGGACATAGTAAATTTTAGTGGAGGTGTCGTAGTATACGTGCATTAACAGTAATCCACATTTTCCATTCTCCACCCAGGTGTAAATGGGTACCTGTTAATTCCTGGTGTTATATGTATACATGCATATATATATTTATTAATTTTGTAAATATATATACATATATATATTGCTGATGAGGCTTCCCTTGGTAACAACATTATTATAATTCTTATGATTCTTATTATTGTTAATTGAGAACAAATAAAAGGTTCATCTCTTGAGGACAAAGTGAAAACCCACTTGACATAGAATCCTTCTCGTTTTTTTATTTTTTTATTTTTTTATAGCTATCGTATTATAACATTAGGAGTGTCGCTAGCCTAGATTTGAGTGGGGCGTTGGGCCAGATTTTGCCGACAAGTTGGCAAAACAATTCCATTTAGCAAGAAAAGAAAGGGTGTTCGAATATGCTGAAGGATGTGAAAGCCAGCTAGAATGTCATTTGCAGACAGAAAATAGTACCTACACCTCCCTCCATAAATACATTTTCCTGATCGATAAATCCCTCCAACTACCCCCCCCCCCCCCCTCTCCCGTATTTGGACATCGCTGGTAATATCGCGAATATTAAAGAGAAGGTTGAGTTCTGGGAAGAGGTGAAAAATAATTTGTGAGCATTACTCATTCTTATTATGCAAGTGTGGAAGAACATCAGATAAGACATGTTCCCTGAAAAGCATGGCTCTTCAAATGCCTTCATATTCTAAATATGCATGTAACATCGTAAAAATCGGGGGGGGGGCCGGCTTTTTACGCCACGTGTTCGTGTAGTCCCATATACATCTTTCTGTGTACAGTGTTTGTAACTTTACCAAGACTTGGCCAAATTTCTTATCATTTTGATGATTCCAGAACCTTGCAATACACACAAATTCTTATATGCTAGATGATCAACCTTTTCTGGTCGGTTCCACACCGTTTCTTTCACAATGCAATCGCATGACCAGAACTCAACTTCATCTTTAAGCCTGCATGGGCCCCAATTAGTTAATGCAATGTCACTTAATCCTGCCCGCCCCACCGTCACCGAAGCCATGAAAACTCACGTTAATATATTCGAAAAGGCGGCTTTTCATTTTGTTTCATTTTGAAGGCATGGATCTAGAGATTGAAAAGTATTTAGTCACTAGTGAGTTTTCTGGTCAACAATGCACTCGAATTAGCGAATCGAAATTAACGATATCAAGGGATTGTTCCCTAGCCAGAGTAAGATATTCATCTGTAATCCATAGATAACTACACTGGTTACCTGTTCATAAGACAATAATGTATAAAATTTCACTATTTGTTTATAAATCCCTGTATAACCTTATCCCATCCTATATTTCTAGTCTGTTTTGTCCCATCCAGCAATCAAGATGTTAATTACGTTCAAGGTCAGACCCCCTTCTTCTGCAAATCCCCCGCATCAATTCGAAGAAGGGTCAACAAAATATAATTTGTTCTGGTCCCACTATTTGGAATAGTCTCCCATTAAGCATTCGTTCCTGCACATCAGTCGCATCATTTAAGAGAAATCTAAAAACTCATTTGTTTTCTTTGTAATTGTTATTTTAGTGTAATGCACTTGGAGAGCGTATAATTATTCTGTGTTTATTACTAAATAAAGCGCTTAGAGCATGCTTATGTAAAGGCGCTATATAAATATCAATATGTATGTATGTATGTAGAGCATGTTTGACCCTTTTTCCTAACGTTTACAGCTATTGATCACAACATCCCCAACAATCGACCACATCAACCAACCTGCAGCATATATGCCTGTAGATGATGAATTATTTAATCATTGTCCATATCTTAGGGTTTCCTTAATTTGTGAAACAACGCACAGGGTGTTGAAGGCTCTTCTCGCCAGTCATGGCCGGACAAAATCAGATTTAAATTC